ACGGCTAAAGTTAGCAAAACTATAGTTGAAATTAACCAAACAGAAAGTAAAATAGTAGCTAAAATTACCTAAAGATGATGAAGCTAAAATTACGAAAACAATTGATAAGCAATTGGATAAACAGTTGATAAATTTACCAAAACAAATGCAATAACTAGCAAAACATTTCCTAAAAGCGTCTTTGTAAAACAACAAAGTCCATGCTCAGTCATCCAGGTATTATCCAGGCTTCTTTGTAAAAGTTCCTAAAAGTCATCAGACTGTAGCTAAAGCTAAAATAAACAAAAACGATAGCTACAAAAGTGAAAAGATGGTACAGCTAAATTAGCAATACAGCATGCATAAGCAAAACATTAAAGTTAAGCAAAACAAAAGCTAAAATGTTAATGTTAGCTAAACCATAACAAAAATGTAAAGAGCAGAATTGCTGCTTAAAACTAAAAAATAAGTAGCTTAAAGCTAACACACACCTAACATTAGCTAATAAGAGCTGAACAGTAGCTCAAAGTGAAACATAGCATAAGAAGATAAAAATAGAGGAACTATGCAGAAGCAGATTTGATGTTTTGGTGGAATTTGTGCATTTCCATGAGTATTTTTTTAAATAATCTAAAATATGAACTGAAATTACTGATTTATGAATTAATAAAATACATTTTTACAGAACGATGGTGTAAATGTGCGGCTGCAGCTGTTTCGGTTCATTCTGATCGGATCAGAACTGTTCGTCTGATGGTGCTGACGATCCAAAGTCTTGATGTCCCAGCTTTCCCTGAACGCACCGCAAGATGCTGCCTGCTGTCTTTAACCTCATCGAGGTAAAGAACCTCGCAGAACGAGTTGTTATCGCAGCTGTAGCCGATTCACTCATCTGGACCAGAACATCTGCAGACGTGTCACCACTTTCAGATGGGACAAATTAGAAGTTTTGATTTTGACACGGCATTTAAAGCAGATCTGAGAGGACAAAGATTGATATATAAAGGTTATTGATGGGAGTTTCTTCCTCTGACTGATCAATTCGGCTGCAGCAGATCTGTTGGGTCGGACTCATCCGTGCACTCTGAGGCCGAGCTGAAGGGGGAGGAACACCGACTCATCTGACTCCTATCAGTTGTATTAAAAACACATTGATGGGGTTTCCTCGCAGCCTTGAAGTGGATAATGAGGTGAAAGTTTCCAGCATGGAGTGGGAGGTTTCACTTTGTGGCTGTCTGCCTCTTAAACCTACTATTAACTTGTCTGACCTGTGGAGCTGTGAACGCGCCGACAGCTGTCCGAACCGGAGGAACGCTGCGAGCCGAAGCACCCCACTGACATTTAATGAAAACGCTAAACTGAGTAAAGGGAAAACATTAAAGGGGATGCTAATACGAGTAAACCAGGGCCTGAAATGAGCATAAATATGGCTAAAATGTAGCTAAAATAAGCATAGCGCATGCTAAAAACGAAAAACAAGTAGCAAAGAGCTAAAAGGAGCGGTACTACAGCTATAAATAGCAAAACAAGAGCTGCAAGAATTAGCCAAACAACAGTTGAAAGTAACGAAACAGAAGCCGCAACAAGCATAGAACAAGCTAAAAATTTTAAGCAGCAAAAAGCTAAAAACCGCAAAATAGTAGCAAAAAGCTACAAGCAGCAAAATCAAAGCTAAAATTAAGAAAACAGAGATGCTAAAATGACTAGCACAATAGCTGAAAGTAACGAAACAGAAGCTAAAATAGGCAGAGCAAAAGCGAAAAATTAAAATCCGCAGAACAGTTGCTAAAAGCTAAAAACGGCTACGTTTGAGCAAGGAGCTAAACGGTAACTAAAATTGATGGGGACTGCTGCGTTGCGGCCATTTAAACATTTTGATTGGACAGTATGTGTTGGGGTTCGCTCTCAGCTACCACCACACCAAATTTCAGCTCAATATATTTTAAAATTGTTATTGTATTTTCCCCTTTTAGCTAAGGCGGCCATCTTGGATATTTTATTTGCATTAGGAATGTATATCAACTCGCTCTCAGCTACAACCATACTAAATCTCAGCTCAATATCTCAAAGAACGGCCGAGTTATAGTCAATTTTGATTTCTCTGAGGTAGCTGTGGCAGCCATCTTGAACCAAAATGGCTCCAAAAGTTAGTGTTTTGCTCAGAGGCCGCTCCACTCTAGGTCATGTGACCTCACTGTGTCAATTAGAGGCTGTGACGAGTTCTGTCACGGTCTGTTTCTTCTGTTTTAGCTTTTACTTACTGTTCTGCAGGTTGTAGCTTAATTTGATGATTAACAAATCGTAGATTTTAGCAACTTCTCACAATTTTAGCTTTTAGCTACGGTTTCGCTAATTCTAACCAATGTTTGCTAATTTTAACCTTTTGTATACTTTTTTAGCTGATTTTAGCTTTATTGCTTAGTAGCTTAGGTCTTAGTAGCTTTTAGCTGTTATTTTGGTAATTCAACATTTAGCTTATTTTAGTTAGCTTTAGTTAAGCTTATGTAGCTTTACCTTTACTTAAACTACTTTCTGTTTTTAAATTTCAGCTCCTGCTACAAACTTTTTACATTCAGTTTTACTAGTTCATGTTTAGCTACTTAATTGTCTTTTTTAGTTTTTATCTACAGTTTTGCATGTTTTAGCTTTGAGTTACTGTTCTAATAATTCTAGCTTTTAGCTACTGTTTTGCTGATTTTAGCTTTTGGCAACAATTTTGATGGAGTTAACTTGCAGATCCTGTATTGCTAAGTTTAGCTTTTAGCTTTTGTTTTGCTAATTTAACTTTAACAGCTTAGTTTCAGCTTATTTGACACTTATTGTAGCAGAAACTGTAGCTTGTTAGGTTAATCTGTGTTCTGTTACACTGATGTTGTCTTCCTCCTCATCCTCCTCCTCCTCCTCCTCCTCCTCCTCCTCCTCCTCCTCGGGGGATCTGACTCGGCTGCAGTCGAACACTTTGATGATTTAAAGTTGACACGTTGCCTCCAGTGAATCTAACAAGCTGGAATCGGGCTGCAGGCCGTTAGCGCGCCTCGCTCGGTTGCTCCTGTCGAGGCTAACGGTGTGAGGAGGGGGTTTAGCTGCTGCTCAGCATTTTTCGCCTTCTGTCGTTTTAATAGCAGCTGCTGTGTGCCTGTTTATTTTAGAGCTGGTCTCAATCTGATTCAACAGTTGAGTCTTTGTCCAAAATAATAATAATAACAATAATAATAGTAATAATAATGATAATAATAGTAATAATAATAATAATAATAATAATAATAATAATAATAATAGTAATAATAATGATAATAATAGTAATAATAATGATAATAATAATAATAATAAAGCCTGGTGTTTGGAAATTTGGTACTTGTTAGAGACGATTTTTGTTTCAGTAAGCAAAAATTAATTTCTAAGCTAATATTAGCAAATACCTAACTAAATGCTAAAGGTAGCAGAAGGCTAACTAAAAACATGAAACAATTCAGTAAATGCTAAAGGTAGCAAAAGGCTAAACAAAAGTAGCAAAAACCTAACTAAAACCAACAAAACTGGCAATAACAAAAAGCAGCAAGTTGTCTCAAAGCTAAAATTAGCAACAAAACACTAAATGCTAAAGATAGCAAAAGGCTAGCTAAAAGCAGCATACAGTTCACTAGTTGATAAAGGCTAAATAAAAAGCTAAATAAAAGTAGCAAAAAGTTAACTAAAAGTAACAAAACCTTGACAAGAATCTAAAGCAAAAATAAAAGGTTGTTTCAAAGCTAAAATTAGCAAAAGGCTAACTAAATGCTACAGGTAGCAAAGGATTGTTAAAAGCAGCAAATAATACATTAAATACTAAAAGTAGAAAAAGGCTAAATAAAAGAAGAAAAAGCTAGCTAAAAGTAACAAAAGGCTAGCAAGGCAGATAAAGCAACAAAAGATTTTTAAAGCTAAAAGTAGCAAAAGGATAAACTAAGGTAGCAAAGGCTAGCTAAAAATAACAAACGGTAAACTAAAAGTTGACGGTAACAAAAGGCTAGCAAGAAGCTAAAGCAACAAAAGGCTGTCCAAAAGCCCTAAAAGTAGCAGGATAACAGCTAAAAGGGAAAACGGCAAAATGGTAGCTAAATGCTAACAGTAGCAGAATGGTAGCTTAAAAGTAAAAAATATCAGAACTACAGATAAAAACTAAAAAAGCATGAAAAGACAAAAGTAGAGCCAGTAAGCTAAAGCAGATTTTGGGTAGGAAACTAGTCAGCTAGTTTTATGTAAATAAAAAATAAAGTTAAAAAGCATAAACGTTATGAAATCCAATAGTCATGCATCGCCTGAATGAGCTGAATGTTTTGAAATGAACGTCTAAAACAGCACAAAGTCTGCAGAAGTGGTTTTATAACTGAAAACCTAAAAAAACATGAAGACAAAGGTCCGAGCGCTGAGTCAGCGTTTCTGAAACGGGGCTCTTTCTGTCCCGCCTGTTTCAGCTCCAAGCCGAGGCTCGCCACTTCCCTTATTCTGTTGAAACAGCCGAAGTGTTTCAGCTTTCTGGCTCAAGAAACGTTACACAAAGAGGGCCGCGGCCGCCGGGCGCCGATCATCGCAACTGTTTCACAAGCGGCCGAGTTTGATCAGAGAGTTGCCACCTGACCCGCTGGCCCGAAACAGGAAGTTCAAACCGAACTTGTCAACGTGCAAGTCATGCAGCCGCCTTCAGACACGCTTATATTTAACAAAGTGATAAATGACTGAATGTTTGAAGGTCTACTGTTCATTTCTGCATCATCTGACAGAGATGGCTTCCAGCATGATGTTAACAACCTCTTTACATTTCCTCAGACTTCCAGCCCCCCCCATACTATACACTCTAGATATGAGACGCTGATGTCTGCAGCTCTTTAGCTCCTCTAAAGGCTGAGATTTCTCACTAAAGCTCCAGAGAAGTTCTTGTGGGGGTCAGAGAGCCTCAGACAGCTGTGTGAGCAAACGATAAGAGAACTACCTTCCAAACATCTGGAGCGACGAGGAGCCGAGCGCGTCTGCGGCCTCCTTACCTTCCCAAAGTTCCTGACGTCGAAAAGGTCGAAGGCGTCGAACAGTTCGCTTTTCTTCATCCCGAATGTGTCGCTGCACGCCGCCAGGAACGTCCTGATGTTCTTCAGGCACAGGAACTGTCGGGAGGACAGAGAGGTGAGTCGGTGGCAGGAAACACTCGGGCACGAATCCAGCAGTTAATGTCGTTAAAGTTTGTTTTAAAGTTAAAGTCGAGTTTGGTTTAAAAATGAGCCCGATGGTGGGCCGAACTGAGCACACCCATGGCCCTGATTTGGCCCCCGGGCCGCCAGTTGAATAACAAATTATGCAAAACAAAATGCTAATTCATTTATGTGTTCTGAAGAAAAAAAACTAACTTTAAGGTTTTATTTTGTGCTTTTTTTTCTATCTAAGCTAACGTTTATTTGTAGTACTAAAGCAGGACGACGCAACAAAAACAGCTAAAGAAACTAGCTGTGAAAGAGCAGCGTTAGCGCTGCTGAAATCTGCTGAACAAGCTGAAACTGAGTGTGTAAAACTAAAACGAGCAAAGGTCAGATAACAAATTTATTCACTGCCAAACATAAGCTGAAATCCCAAAGTACCTAAATGTTATCTATAAGTAGCAAACACTGGCTAAAAACTATATGTAGCAAAACGGTAGCTAACTGCTAAAAGTAGCAAAAGGCTAGCTGAAAGCAAAAGGTAGCATGACTGTAGCTAAAAGGTAAAAGTAGCAAGAAAAAACAAGCTGTCAATAAAAGTCTAGCAAAGAGTTAAACGCAAAAAAAATAGCAAAATGCTAGCTAAAACTATCAAAAAGCTGACTAAAAGTTAAGGTAGCAGAGCTGTAGCTAAAATAAAAGTAAAAAAAAAAAAAAAAGCTAAAGCTTAAGGTAAAAGTTGCACAAAAAACTAGCTAAAAATAAAGTTTAGCTAAGATAAAAATACCAAAAGATGAGCTAAAAGCATAAAGTATCAAAAGGCTATCTAAAAGCAAAAGATAGCACGGCTGCAGCTAAAATGTAAAAGTAGCAAAAAACTAACTAAACATAAGTAAAGTCTAGTTGAGTTAAAAACAAGAAGTAGCAAAAGGCTAGCTAAACGTAGCTAAGGGCTTGCTAGAAGTTAAGGCAGCAGAGATGTAGCTAAAATGTAAAGTAAATAAACAAGCTAAAGTTTAAGGTAGCACTCAAAGTTAAAAGTAGCAAAAAAAACAAGCTAAAAATAAGAAAAGTTTAGCTAGCAGTTAAAAATATCAAAAGGTGAGTTAAAAGCAAAAGATAGCACAGATGTAGCTAAAATTTAATGGTAGCTAAAAGCTAAACATAAAAAAGTTTAGTTGAGTTAAAAACAAGAAGTAGCAAAAGGCTAGCTAAAACTAGAAAAGTCTGGCCAAAGGTTAAGGCGTTAGAGAAGTAGCATAAATTTAAAGTAGCTAAAAGCTAAAGGTAGCAACAAAGCAACTAAAAGTGGCATAAAAACAAACGGAGCCAGTAGCTGAAACATGTCAAAGATGAAGCTTTTAAGAAACAGAACAGATCTTTTTGTGTTTTCTATGAGGAAAATCTTAAATAAAGTTGATTTTAAAAAGTATAAACGTAAAAACCAGAAGTCATCGCAGGATCTCCTGAACACTTGATCAGTTAAATCATCTAATGAACTCGAGATGTTTTGCCGCCTCTTTTGCAACTTAAAACTTGTCGACTTTTGGGACCAGTCTATATCGTCATCATGTAGCTTCTCTGTGCCCCACCCCCACGACGCACACCGAGCTGAAAGCACCGACTCGGAGAAGGAGTCCTCACTTGACCCCCAGTCCTGGTGAAGCGCTCGGAACGACAGAGTTAACGAGAGCACATGAGCTAACCAACCCTCCACAGCTGGGCCTTCCTGCAGGGTGGAGGAGAAAATCAAACTGACATGACATCATCCTGGGGTGTAACCTGTTTTCTCCCATGGCTGAGATCAACCTACAGAACATCTGGACCTTAAAGTGTTCTCTGTCCACAAACGGGCACAATTTCTGCTGAGTTTACCAGTTACTGGTCTCTGCAGGTAAGAACCGCTTTACGAAGATATGTTCTGTGCAGAAGCATTGTAGGGGGTTCTAAACGTACAACTAGAGGAGTTGCATGTAGTGCGAAAATGCAGTGCAAATGCTTATTGCAGAAGAACTTGCAGAAAAACAGCTGAAATAAGCTAAAAACATGCTGAAATGTAGCTGAAATGGAAGAACACGCCCAAATTAGCAGAAGAAAGCAGAAAGAACACATTTGCTGAATTAGGTTTAAATAAGCAGAAATGAGCACAAAATTTAGGAAATTAACTAAAAACAAGCTGAAATTAGCGACCAAAAAAAAGCTGAAAAGTAGCTGAAAATGCAGAAAGAAGCTTAAATTACAGAAGGAAGTAGAGAGAGCACATATTTGCTGAATTAGGCTGAAAAAAGCTGAAATTAGCTAAAAAAAAAAAAAGTGGAATTAGCTGAAAAAGCTCAAATTAGCATAAAACAGCTAAATAGTAACTGAAATAGCAGAAAAAGCTGAAACTAGCAGAAAAAAGCTGAAAGCTGAAATTAGCATAAAGAAGTTAGAAGAAATACAAAAATGTTGTAGTTAGCAGAAAAAATCTGAAAGGAGCACAAAACAGCTGTAAAAATAGCAGAAATTAGCAAAAATAGCTGCAAAGTAGCCGAAAAGGCAGAAAGAAGCTTAAACTACCCAAAGGAATTGGAAAGAGTTGACACGAGCTTAAAAAAAGTGAAATTAGCTGGAAAAGCTCAAATTTGCAACAACAGCTAAATAGTAGCTGAAATTGACAGGTAAAAGCTAAAAGGAGCATAACAAGCTGGAATTGGCCGAACGAAGTTAAAGAAACACAAAAATATTGTAGTTAGCAGAAAGAATCTGAAGGAGAACAAAACAGCTGACATTTGCTGAAAGGAGCTGAAAAAAGTTAAAATTTCCACAAGTAAGCTGTAAGAAGCTGAAGCAGAACAGAATGTGAAAGGAGCAGTAAAAGGTTGTAAACACATCTAAAGATGTGAAGGATGGAAAATGAGCTCAATTCGTTTTCTTTGAGAAAAAAGTGGCAGAAAAGGTTAAATATTTCAAAAAGCTAAAGTTGCACCAAAACCAAAAGTCATAGCACTGTTCCCCTAAACGAGCTGAAGGAGTTTTGACACCTAAATTGCTGAAATATCTTAAAAACTGCAGAACGAGAATCACGCCTGAATTCGTAATAATAAATACAAACAGGAAAACAATAGTGTGGATGCTGACTAAGCATTCACATAAATAGGAAACTGTTTCAGGGTCCAAAGTTATTACAAGTATTAGAGGAAGTCCTTCATGCTATCATTGTTTGGGGCCAGAATTACACAGTTAAGTATGTCAAAGAAGACGGGGGGCGTGAGATCGACTGACAGACAGGTGCAACTTCTGCAGTAATGAGAACTCTTTACCGGCCTTTTTTGGTGAAGAGAGAGCTGAGCTGCACGGAGAAGCTCTCCGTCTACTGATCGGTTTACGTTCCTACCCTCACCTATGGTCATGAACTCTGAGTAGTGACTGAAAGAGCAAAATCACAGACGAAGTGGATCGAAATGAGTTTTCCAGCAGGGTAGCAGACGGGTAAGAAGTTCAGTTCTCCAGGAGAGATTTGGAGCAGAGCTGCTGCTCCTCCACATCCAGAGGAGCCAGTTGAGGTGGTTTGGACATCTGGTAAGGATGGCCTCTTGATACCTCCATAGGGACATGTTCTGAGCATGTCCAACTGGGACAAGACCCCAGGGAAGACCTGGGACATATTGGAGAGACTATGTGTCTTGGCTGGTCTTGGAACACCTTAAGAGTCCTCCCAGAAGAACTGGAAGAGGAGGTTGTGGAATGAGATGGACAGATGGATGGACAGCAATCAACATTATCCATCCATCTATCTAAACCATAAGTTTGGAACTGCTTCTGCAACTAAAAATTGGATGGATGGATGGATGGATGATGGATGGAGGAACGGACAGACGGATGGACAGTAATCAACATTATCCATCCATCTATCCAAACCATAAG